AGCATGGGTCCTTTTCCATCTGACTTAATGTAACTGGATACCACTTTGCTTTCTCCCACTGAGAGCCATTCTCTCCTTCTCCTTTTGCTTCAGTAGTCCAGACTGGCTGGAACTGATTTCAGATGACTCAGCAGCCAGCTAGAAGATCAAGAAATCAAGACTGACTCAAAGCTCTGAGAAAAACTTAATGCACGTCTCTGACATAGACAGGTGGAAAGACTGTCCATACTGTATGGTGTCCTAAAGCAATCTTAAAAGTAGCTGTGGGCACAACAGAGGGGACTATCTCCAGATAATGATTCACACTTGGGGAGGAGAAGGAGGAGGAGAGTCCTACTGTCACATTTCCCAAAAGGCATTCTGTAGAAAGTTGTCTCTTCATGAATGCTCTTATGGAGGAGGAGGTAAGAACTGGGTAAGGCATTGTGCTAGGACTAAAAAAGTAACACAACCTTGGGACCAGCAGATGGCACAATATTTAACATTGCTAGGCTCACACATAATTGAACACGGTTTGAGTCCCGGACCCAGTGGCTTAAAACAGACACCGGGCATGTGTGTGTGCATGCCCAAGATTCCCAGAGAACAGAAGAGGAGGGACTGTGGTGTGGCAATCGCTCCTGTGGGTTGATTTCTAGCATTCTATCTGTCTCTGTCACTCCAATGAGTGTACATACCCTATAACAAAAATCTTTCCCCGCCCCAAAATATTTTTTTAAAACATCACACAACCAAAATAGCTGAAGCAGTACAAGCAGACTTCAAAAAGTGCATGGAAAAATGGAATTACTATACAAGTTTATTCTTGTGCAAAAATTTTTAAAAATCCATGCATCACTTTCTTCATCATCCATATTTTCCATGAACATATTGAAGACTTTTTACACTACCTACTCACTCTGACCAACTACAATCACAATGAAAAAGTAGCACATTAAGATTTATTGAAGTCATACAGTTAAAAAAAAAAGTTTCACAAATAGAACTCTGGAACCACAATAATTAATTACCCACTTGCTTTACAAATGCATGTCCAAAATGGCAGTACTAGCCACAGGTGGTTACTGAGCACCTAAAATGTAGTTAGTCCAAAATAAAATGAGCTGTAAGTATAAAATACACACTGGATCTCAATGGTTTAGTAGGAAAAAATGTAAAAATATCTCGATGTTTATACTGACTACATATATAAGTTGAAATGCTATATGGAGTTAAATAGTTACTAAAAAAGTTAATACAGTTATTAAAACTAACTTTACCATGGACCAGCAGGTGGCATGGAGGTTAAAGTGGCTGGATCCCACATGGCTGACTGCAAAATTTGAGACCTGGACCTGGTAGCCTGAAATCATGCAACGTGTGTGTGCACAAATGCCCAAAATACCAAGAGGAGGCTAGAGGAGAAGGGACTGTGGTGTGGCCATCTCCCTAAAGGTTGATTTCTCAGTTTCCTCTCTCTGTCTCTGGCAAGCACAAGCACCCTATATTAAAAAACTAAAACTAAAAAACAATAATTATTAAATAAGTAGATATAATTAATCTCACTTATTTCTTTATATTTTTTAAATACAGCTACTAGGAAATTAAGAATGATATACATGACTCACATTATATTATTAGAAAACAGCCCCTCAGAAAATGCTAAGCTATACCACAGGCTTAGAAACTTTAGACATTTCTTATCTTGATGACCATGCTACATTTGTTCACTTGAAAGAAAGGTACTACAACACAGAACCTGGGAATGGGTTAAAACAAATGAAAAAGAGCATTTGGACATTCTGACCAGGACTTACAACACAGCCCAAGTCATTTCAAAGGAATCAAGGAATAAGGGACACATTTCTTACCCAAAAAAAATGAATACCTTTCCTTTTTTTGTTCATTATCTTTTTAGGATCTCTTATGATATTTACGTCACAACAGAGAATTATTTCATTTTGCCTTTTGTTTGACAGTATGATCTATAAACATATCTCTAAATATAATGGTAAAAGCTGAATAAATGTGGGGTTTCATTAACTGAAACCACTACACACACCCAGCACAAGTAAAGAAGTTCCTTCCCTTCAGGAACTGCCCATGAGGACACTGTTCAAGGCCAACTGAGTTATTATTTATTGTTCCACAGTAGATTCATCTTCAACTCGTGACATGACTTGGACAAACCACTTCACCTCCTGTTTCCTGTGAAAGAGCCCTGGGTAGATGAACATCTAGAGTGTATCCAGAAGTATGTGACACAGATTACAAAAATTACTATTCACTATACTATTCGATTCACGAAAGGTACTAGTGAAACATTACCAGAGGACTACCTTTGTGACATGTAACCCTATTTGAGGTTCTGCTTCCTTAGTTGTAAAATAGAAGTAACACCACCCATACTACAAAGGAATTTGATGATCAAACAAGAGAGAGCTCAACACCCAGCATGTTGCCTGGCACTGAGGAAACACAAACTTCTCTGAAGACTCTTCTCTGCTCTTCGGGCTTCAGGTCTGCCTGTCTTAAAATCAGATGTGAGGAACTACATATTATAGTTGTTATAAAGTAAGACTACCGAAAGCTCAGAAAACCTGTCAGATTATGACAGGAAGTAGGTTTTCCCCTTTCTGAAGTTTCTCCTCAGAAGTGGTAGTTCACTAATGCCAAGTTTCCACTGTGAAATAGCTATTGTGTCGTTTCCTGGCATGGGAAAGAGAGCAAGCTGGGGAACTCACACTTATAAGAATCAGTGATGGGTTTCTCAAGACCTCCACTCTAGTGGTTACCGTCCTCCATGGAAACGGTGCCACTGCTGGGTGTCCTGTCCTTCTATTATTGAAGGCCCATCCTATGCCTTATCTACCTCAAGCCCTCAAAAATCTTTGTTTGCTGTGAACCAAGACTGATGAGTCTCTGATTTCAGATTTGGCATCTCGAATTATAAGAAACATAACATTTTCTCCTCTCTCAGACCAGGGAATCTGTAGAATTTCTCTATGTCCAATCATCCTATCAGTCTCACAGAGCAAGTTAAGGGAGAAATGTTAAAAGACCTGGAATTGTATATTATTTTTCACTTTCCTTCCTCTGATAGCTGAATCTACTGCTATAAAACCATGTAGATGCCTAAGCAATGCTGGGGATATATGAGGAAATTTCAAAGAGTTCATCATGGTCACCCCATGGTCATGGCCTAGTGGTTAAAGGAGCTGGATCCCAGATGGCTGGCTGCAGAGACCTCAGCTAGGCAGTTTGAAAACCATGCCGGGCACATGTGTGCACCAAATCTCAACAGGATGGAAAAACGGAGATGGGATTGTGTTGTGACCCTGTGCCACTGAGGGTGCTTTCTCTATGGCTGGCAAGCACATGCCCTCTGGGAGGAAAAAAGAAAAAAAACCCACATGGAAAAACACTATTAAAGAACTAGACTATTTTGGTGCAGAAATTTCTTTGAAATCCATGGAGTTTTTCAGAATATGTATTTTCCATGAACTTTTCAAAGACCCCTTCATATATGCTTGGACTAAACATGTATGTAATGGAGACATTTCAAACAGTAAAGTTTCAAATGGTGCTTAGGCAATAGGAAACAAAGTCATTGAGCATTTTGACCTGAGCTATTCAGAAAATGTCAATATTTCTAAGCGTCTACATAAATCAACAAGTTGATTACGAAGTCATTTACTTCTATATTACAGGAACTATAGGAATAAAAGAGATCAAAAGTCTGAATCACCCAGAACCCCAACCTGTATGTCAAAGGAGGTAGAGGAAACACTGAATCTGTTCCTAGGATATCTGAAAAAATTTACATTATTAAAATCACTTATTTTCTCTTCTACATGGCCCCTCTACACCCACCATGCCCTCTCTACACCCCTCATGGCACAGATCCAACCCCATCACATTGGTTTACATATATGCCCTACCTGACTGGGTTCCTGGGATCCTCAGAGCCCCCACACACATCAGGCCAACCGTGTTTAAAGAAATAGGAGCACCTCATGAATACTGTGGATACTTAATGCAAAGTTACAAGATAAACAAAGTACATCTTTCTGGAGATCAAGCTTCAAACGTTTTCTTATTAAAACACTTTGCCAATAGAAAGTATGTGGACTTAAAAAAATAAAGCAGTCTTGTGGCAGCTGGCAGCTTCTAAATTCAGAAGTATGCCCTATGCCAGATGTACAAGTTCCCTATTCTGTCTGCTAGAGGTTCCTGCCAAAGCTAAGATATCGAGAAGCTCTGGACTCCACATGTGCCTTACTTTTTGAGGCTGAAAGCCTCCTCCCGATTATCAAGAGTCAGAGATCTCCAATGCCACTTTCTAAGTTGGGGGGGGTGGGAGGGGAATAAAATCAGGTTCCTCTTGTCCAAACTACTCAAAGATTATGCTAAGGCTGGGAAAAGAACTCTCCTCAATTATGGGTCAAGGACCTCACATAATTAAGGTTTTGAAAAGGTGTTGTATGTTTAAAAGCACAAAAACACAGAAGAGCTTGTTTGGGCCCTGGGACCTTGGAACACTACCTAGGACTGAGGCCATCATCAGAGAAACTCTGGTTTCCTGCCGCCTCAGCAGTAAAGCCTTAAGGCTCTACTAAAGGGTGATCAGAAGCACCTCTAGCCCTTCCTTGCCGAAGCCATAGGCGCACACCTGAATCCCTTGGAACATCAGCCCTCCAGCTGGAGATGCAGTTGTGCAATCACCCTGCTAATCTCACCCGGCTTCCTGGGCTCAGAACTTCTTGAACTTTCTTCACCCGGCCTTGAAGGCTCCCGGCCAACCTTTTCGCCCCCCCAAGCCGAGAAGTGGCAGGACAAACATCCTGAAGGGACGCGGGACTGCAGAATCCACTCTTTCTTCCACAAGTACCTTCTGGGGGCCGTGGAAGGTCCCAGGAGGGACAGCGGGCCGGGGGCGGCCACAGGGACACAAAGACGCCCCCTCCTGTCGCGCCTCCCTACGCCCACCTCCCCACCCCGGTGCGGCAGTCCGCGCTCACCTTCGCCGACGTCTCCCCAAACAGAGGTCTGTTGTCCAGGCCACTGGTGCCGTAGGTCCTGGCAGTAAAGTCCTCCATTTTGGAGTTTCTTCAACTCTCCACAGGCCACTCAAAAGCGAGCCAGCATAGCCTCCCGGAGCCTCAGTTCCGCGATGCCAAGGCCTGCAGCTCAGGGCGCGCGCATGGCGGGACCCCTGGGGCCCAGGAAGTCCCGGCGGTGGCGGAGGGTGGGCGCTCACACGCGGGGGCCGCTCTGCCGGAGCCTGCCTCGCCTCATCTCCAGCAGCTGCCGCAGGGAGGGGAAGGGAACCAACAGCGCCGGGCGCAATCGGTTTCCTCTGCCCCCTCCCCCCCCAGGCGACTCCCATCCCTCCCCCTAAATGTTTTCACGCCGTTATTCCTCATGCTTTCCGAATTTTCTGCAGTGGGCATGTATGCTCAAAGCAGGGAAAAGTTTTCTTGGAAGGATCCATTACGAGCCCCTCGCATCTCCCACCCCCTCGGTCCCGAGCCGCGGCAGAAGTGAAGTTGCAGGAGCAGAACCAGGCGCCCCGCACACCTCCCGCAGCGCCGGGTCCCCTCAAGTGTTGCATCTGCCCGAGGACGAGCAGTGCCTGCAGCAGCAGGAGCTCCTGCAGGGAGAGCTGCAGCAGGAGCACGGCCCTGGCACAGCGAACACACTCGAGTCCCGCCTGTGCCCAGCACAGTGGGCCGGCCCCGCGCCCGCCCCGCGCCCGCAGGCCAAACCTTGGAGTCCCCAGGCGCCAGCACCCTGGGGAGTCCTGGAGGCGCCGGGGGACGTGGCTCCGCGTCTACACCCCGCCGGGATTCGGTGCTGAGACTCAGGAACCCGGACGGGAGCGTGAGGAAGGGACAGACCTTCGACGCCGGCGGACAGCCCAGAGCTGAGCTGCGGGTCCCCTCTAAGCTCCCCGGTCCGGACCCGCGGCCTCTGTCGCAAACCTGCCCGGCCCGCCCAGACCGCGTCACAGCCGAGGCCGCCAATCCCCACGGCTGAGGCGCCGCATTGGCTGCGGAGCTTTATTTCTGGAGGTGCCAGTGTATTCCCCGTGGGCGGCCAATCTCCGCGGCTACGCGTTCCTCAGCCTCTTAGTAATTAGCGACTGCGCGATCCACGTGGGCCAAGCACATTTCTGAGGACAGCTTTGCACTTGGCTGAAAGCGTTTTAAAAACAATCAGCTGCTTAAACCACCCTAGGCTTTGCACAACTAGGACAGAACGGGCGGGAGTCTTTGGTAATTTTGGCGTCGGATTGTCTGTCTTGTTTTGTTCTGTGGCAGGGAGCCTGTGTTATTTACAGAAACCGTCAGGAGGTAACAATGGTAGGTGCTTCTTGGACGTGTCCATTCGTTCTGCCAGTGATGGTGCCCCTAGATTGAAAAGAACTCTGAAACGTTTGTTGGTGGGCAGAGTCTGGTTAGAACGTTATAGCCGTAGGAGGGGACTTCAAAAAGTTAATGAAAATTAAAAAGTGAAATTCAAGCACAGGGTTTTTTTTGGTGTAAAAAACAGTTGGAAAGTCATGCAATATTTTTTTTCATAATACACATTATCCACTAACTTTTTGAAGGCCCCTGGTGCAACACTCAGATTTCCAAGCCATGATCCCAGCTGGGTCACTCACACAATTTAGGAAAAGGGATGGATTGAGAACCATGGAAATTACAGCTTTGGGATTTGCCCCACTGAATAGAATTAGCTATGGCACATAGCTGTCCTGTTTTACACATGATCCTCTGTTTGCTTAGGACTTCCTGTTAAACTGGCTATGCTACCTGATCCTGCACACACTTTCTTTTAGCAGGTTAACTAGTGCCATAAATAATTGTTCACTCACATTCAGCCACATTCAAGAAAATACCTTCGGGAATCTGTTTTCAAATTCTTCCAGTTTAGAGTCTGTGTCCTATCATTATGTTCTAGTTTGTTGTGTTGCTAATAACAGAAAATACCTGAATGTGAGTAATTTATAAAAATAAAGGTTTATTCAGCTCATGGTTTGGAGGTTGCAGGTTCAGAAGCTACGTCTGGTGAGGGTCTTCTGAATTATAATATGGTGAAGGGCTGGAGTTCATGCATCTGTTCGTGTGTCTCATTCTGGCCTCACTCCCTTGCCTTACAAACTCCTCAGGTGTCAATCATAGGTGTCGTGCCCTGACAACCTTAGTCTTAATCTCCTTCCAAAGGACCTACATTTCAACACCATAGTCAGATTAAATTTTCATCCTTTTAATTCAATCACAGCCAAATCTGACCACATGAATTTAGGGGGAACACATTTAAATGATAGAACACTGCTACCGCTCTTTTGAAAATAGCCTTGATTCCTTTGACGCATTTATTTTATCACACCTGTGCAGAAGATCCCCTGAGATACTAATGTTTCTGCATTCTCTGTATCTAGTGAGAATTGTCTAGTGTAGCCGGAGAGAGGGAAAAATCATAAAGGCCACTGATTGGAGTAATATTAAATTGAGGTCAGACAACCTCTACTGTGCTGTTAAAACCATCTGGAAATGCTGTGTTGCCTGGGCAACTCATGTTGTCTACTTTCTTCAGACTGCCAGCCCCTCTTTACTCCTCTCTTATCCTCAGACGATGACTCAGCCTCCTGCTTCACAGGGCAGCCATCAGATGAGAGTTCCCTCAACTACCCAATAGACCTACACGTTCATCTGTGTCCACCCTCTTCTGTACACATGTCCTCCACTTAGAATGGAAGAGATGCCCCTCCATTTCTCATATTTTGCAACTGCTGCATCCCACAAACCCAGAACTCTCCATATTCTATTTGTTTTCTGTGAAAAGTATTTAAACATGCTCAGTTCCAGCTGATTTAAAAAACAACAACAACAAACAAAATAAGCAAAGGACTCTTATTGAGCCCATGTTTTCCTCTAGCTACCAAACTCCTTCCACACCCTCTGTGGTATTCTTTCCTATCTGGTCATTTTTCTCCTCCACCTACTTCCTTGAAAACAGAAACTATCTCCCAATATAAAGGAAAAAATGCCATACATTAATTTTTTTGTTGTTGTTATAGGGCGCGTGCACTTGCCAGACAGAGAGAGACAGAGAGACAGAACGCGAGAAATCACCCCCCAGGGGGATGGCCACACCACAATCCCTTCTCCTCCATTCTCCTCTCGGGATCTTGGGCACGCACGCACACACGGCCAGCATGAGTTTTAAGTCACCGGGTCTGGAACGCGAACCGTGGTCGACTACATTAATTTTCAGAGACTCCTTGCAGCTGGGAGAGGGGGATACGAGTGTTTAGGCTAACAAGTCACCAGGGCACATCTACTGGGGGCTTTTGCAGGCATATGAGGAGTGTTATCTTCCTGCAACCTGGCCAGTCATAAGTCTGGCCCAGTAACTAAATCCAGGTTCTGCTACCCATCACTCAAAAACTGCTACTCCAGACACCAGTGTTAGTGGAAAAGAAAGGTGATTTTATTTAGGAAACCAGTGACCTGGGAAGATGGTGAGCAGATGTTCAAAGACCACCTCTGAAGACTTAGGCTAGAACAAGAGGCTCTAAAGGAAAAATTAGAGAAGCAGGAAGGAAGGTGGAAAAGGGGCTTTGTACTTTTCTACACAGCAATCAATAATTTTCTTGGTCACATGGGGATTTGCTGGCACCAAAGTTGCTATTCGCAATCGTGGTCATCTCACCTTCAAGGCCAGCATATTTTTACTGTTCATTTTCTTAGACACATTTGTTCTCCAGCTGGGGTCTCAAGGCTCAATTCCTCTGAAAAGTCAGGAAAGCTATGATAAAGGGTTCTGCTACAAATTAAACAGAAAAGCAGTCAGTTAGCAAAAGGAATGTGACTTTTGAGGGCTAGTCTGTTAAGTCGTCTTTAATAAGGAGTTCCTTTGGTTCTCAGCTATATCTTTGGATGTTTTTATGGAAGACCATGATATTTGGAAATGTTTCCAACATCTTATGACAGTGAAGGGTGGCTAAGAGTATCACAAGAAGTCAGAGTCTAAACCTAAACCTATGTCTAAACTTATGAGCCATCCACCTCTGGCTTCTTGTTATATGACGTATGTGTGTGTGTGTCTGTGTTGAGTGGGGTAATCTGTATTGTGTAAGTCATATTTATCTGGGTATTCCCATACTTATAGCTGAAAATATACTAACATGTTTAAAGTTAAAATTTCTGTAAAAATAGTCCATAAGGATCGTATCCATTTCCTTATCTCCTACATTTGCCTCAATTCCTGAAATCTGGCTTACCCACACTGCCCATGAGTATTCTTCCATGAACATTCTAGTGAGGGGAACCAGCAGTTAGCGTAATGGCTATGTCGCTGGACTTCCACGTAGTCGACTGCAGTTAACGTCCCGGACCCGGTGGCTTAAAACTCACGCCGGGTGCGTGTGCGTGCGTGCCCAAGATCCCGAGAAGAGAATGGAGGAGAAGGGATTGCGGCATGACCATCCCCCCTGGGGGTGATTTCTCGCTTTCTATGTCTCTGTCTGTCTGGCGAGTGCACGCGCCCTATAGTGAAAAACCTCTCCAAAAAAAAAAAAAGATTCTAGTGAGGGCTTATTGATGAATGTGCAGTGGACACTTTCCAGGCCTTCCCCTATATGACTTCCTGGTAGCACCTGGTATTGTTTTCGGTTTTTGCTGTGGGGTACATGTACACACTGGATAGAAACAAAGAGAGGCAGAGAGAGAGAAAGTGAGAAATGGGGATGGCCATGCCACAGTGCCTTTGCCTCCATTCTGCTCTCAGGATTTTGGGCACATATGCACAGGTGCCTGGCGTGATTTTTAAGCTGCCAAGTCCAGGGCTTGAACCATGGCTGGCCATGTGGAAGTACAATACATTAACTACCACATCACCTGCTGGTCCCAGCATCTGGCATTTAAAATATCCTAGAATTAGTCCTTACCATTTCTTCTGCTCTTCCACATACCTCTTCAGTATCATCCCCCAGGGTCCTGTTCTTGACCTTTTTCTGTCTCTTCTGACTTTAGGCTTTGCAAGGGCTAATCTCTGCATTGATTAAAATCTTTATGCTAATCTTCCAAATCTGTATGAATAGACTTCCACAACTTGGTAGAGACATATAACTTATAAAGCCCTTTTTCAAGCAAATTTAAATTACTCTATTCCTTCCAGGTACAATTTAACTGTGTTTCTCTGCTTGCATTGTTTTTGAAGTAAAGCTGCCATGGTAGAGAGCAGTGGCTTTCAGTTTGAGCTGGGCATTAAAATACTCCGGGCAATATTTAATAGTCTGGGGCCACACCCTAAGCCAGTGAAATCAGAATCTCTAGAGATGAGACCTAGGCAGTAGAATTTTTTTTAAGCTCTGCAGATAATTCTGCCCTGCAGCCAAAGTAAAGAACCATTCATTAAGGTAGAGAGCCACTAGTTAGGATAGGGAACCAGTAGTAAAGCCTGGAGTTTTACTTCAGATCCTCACTGTATTATCTGACAAGTCAACAGCACAGACTTTGGAGTCAACAGACCTCAGTTTGAATCCTGGCTTAACCCCTATGTAGATGCATGAATTTGAGCAAGTTACCTAACCACTATAAGCCTTTGTTTTTACTTTTGTGAGATGAATAAAACAACACTTACCCTGTAAAGTTTTATAAAAAATTAAATAATATGTATGTTTGAGTCCCAGACCTAGCAGCTTAAAAACTATGCTTGGCATGCGTGTGTGCATGCCCAGAATTCCAAGAGGAGAATGAAGGAGAAGAGACTGTGGTCTGGCCATCCTCCCTGGGGGGAATTTCTCACTTTCCCTTTCCCTCTCTCCCTCTCTCTCTCTCTCTCTCTATCTCTCTCTGGCAAGCACACAGCATTAGGGCAAAAACATTTTTTTAAAATTAAATAATATATTTAAAACATCTGATACAGAATTAATACTATATAAATTATGCATATTATACATTACTAAAATGAAGA